GGCCCCCCTTTTTGATAATGTTCACCGCTAAATAGAAGTCCATATCTCAAAACGTATTGAGACCCATTTTGTGAAAAACTAGCATAATTTAGGCATTTGGCATTCAAATATGAAAGTGATTCATTTGTACCATTTATCTCCGGCTGAAAAATAATACAAAACGCCGATGCACGGATTATATTACATAATATTCTGGTATTGATGAGAAAAATAATCTCAAACGTATAGTATAGAAATCTAAATCATATATTTAAAATCATTTTGTATTAGTTTCCGTCGCATTGTGAAATGGGATTTTAGTTTTTGGTAATTTTTTGACCTCTGCTAAAGACAGGCATAATTCAGTCGAAAAGCCGGAAGTATATTAAACGGTTATAATAAAGATTATTAAGGAACATATGTAGGTATATTAATATTAGGCCAAATATTGCTCCGCTATCGTGTGCTACCAGCTCCTTTATTAGACGTCCTACATGTAGAGATTTCATACCATGGACTATAACTTTTAAGCATCATGTTTGTCAGTCGTGTAGCCAGGATGGCGTGGCAAATGCATATAGGCGGGACAAGTTTAGGCTAAAGGAGGTATATAACTAAGTTTTGGTTCAACGTTCAGCGGTTTTGTTGAAAAACGTCTGATAAATGTATTTCTGTAAAACGTTGGCGCCTGCCTCATCCCTGGCGACGCCCGTGTCTGTGTAGGGCAAGATGACTTGTTCTATGTAAATCTAATTTCTTTCGTGTTATATCTTACTTTGTATTTCCATTATTTGGTATCCAGGTACAGCTTGACGAACGAGTCATCCATGTCGTAGAAAGTATTGGGACTACATTGTATATGACATATACGTACATTATGGATTTGCCAAGCGTGCCTACTTTGAGCGCCTTAAATTGTGAGGTGTAGCTAGATGGACCATGAAGTGATTCTGGAATGGATTATTTATACCTGTCCAGAATATCCCAAGAGTCATATGTGATTCTGCTTTCGACACTCAAAATATCGTCGTAGAAAAGTGACGTCAAAACATTTTGTCAAGAATTTTTAAGAGAATGATATCAGATCTTATGTTGTGGAAGCTTCATAAAGAAAAAAGCAAGAAAACTAATTGGAAACGCAACTGATGTCGTGCGAGGGCTTTTAGAGACATGATTCAACTACTAGTAACCCCACTTTATCGGTTAATACCAGATTATACCGAGTACCCTAAGTTAACCCCATTACCCCATGAGGGATTCATGCCTTCTAAACCAGAACAGAAAATATTGGAGAGTTCATTGAATTGAAAAGGCTTACAAGATTCCCGCTTCCTATTCTCAATTTTCATGACTTGACGAGAAGTCCGAACTCCAAAATTACCGTCACCAAGAACACGTCAAATACTTTGACGTATATGATATCATTTTGTTATAGAAAGTATGGTATATACGATGAACAAAGTAAAATGTAAACTTTAGACATTCTCATTGATAACGACGTTGACAACCCGTGATAGGAACTATTAAAAAAACTCGCGAAACAAACATCACAATATAAATGCGACCGGGTACTTTGAAATACCGACTAACAGTCGGTGCATGTTTTTACTGTTAACCGCATGCGTTTTTTAATTCAACTGATATTTCGATCACAAATGGTTCGCGAGTGGCACGAATTGGCACGATAAGACTGCTGGTTTTAATATAGCACGATGATTATTCTGTCTGAACTACATAGGGAAAATACATGATGAAAGCATCGGTTTAGATAAGTCTTGAAAGTATATACACTTTGAATGATTGGTTTCATGATTAATTGCCTGATTGGTTAGAATTCGTTTTCGTGTTTCGAAACAATAATTCATTCTAGAGCAAGACAAATGGTCTTCGTCTATTAACAACTTCGATTCCTTCTCGAGATTATGTACTGGGTGACAAAATGGCCGTGTTAGATCCGCGGTCATTACCTGAACTTTTTCTACGGGACATATATTGACACATCTAGCATCATGCCATGCAGTGGAAAGAAAGAAAAATACACTTTCAAGGGGCCATAGGGCAACAGGTTTTGTCTTATTTCCCAACGAAAAATTCCAAAACTCACAAGAAATGATCGAGATATTGGTTCGAATCTTTTGTATTATTTTTTTGAATTCATAGTCAGATATAATTTCAGAAAATAACGACAGTTCAACGTTTTCATTGTTGGGAAATATCGAGTATTGATCCTGGGAGCCAATCCTCTATATGATACTATGAGACTTTCTCAAGGTCCAGTTTGGGATATTGATATCGATGTTGAGTAAGACAAGATCGGCGATGGCTATTTGTCTCGTAAATTATCAGGTAATAATACTATTTTTCCTTTAAAGACCTTCATCTCTGACAAGTAAGTTCCCCGATGATTAAAACGGGTCGTGATGTCTTGCTGCTAACTATAGCCACAAATACAGGTTAACGTGCCGTCGCATAATATGAGACACCAGGGAAAACCACGCGTTTGGCTATAAACCGACGAAGAAACGGCATAGGGACGTACTGTGATAAATAAGGGTGAAAGAGGGGGGTAGGGTGATTAAAATTGCGCAAAGTGCAAGACGGATATTCGTGTGTATAGGTAAGTAAATCAAACAATAATATAGATGTCATGTGAGTATGAATTCATTGCAGTCGTTCAAAATAAACTTCAATAAATATGAATATGAATAAAAAATGTTTGATTCTCATCGAAACATTAGCTCTTGTAAATGTATTTACAATTTCAAACATTTGCTTGAAACATGAGCTGTCGTAAATGTACATACATTTCAAAACACAGATATGTTCTTACCATACCATTTATATATTTCTTTTAAGCATTGGCCATGGAATCAAACTGAAATTGCAACTATATGAAACATTTCTATTTCTGAATTACTCCTTTTTTCTTGTCATACTAATAGGAATCTTGTGAATCGAACTATGTATACCTTTTCTGTTGCATTCTGTTTTATTCTTATAATTTTGCTTGCTTTTACCTTGATTACTAACTGATGCGGAAAAGCAGGTGACCTTTAGAGACAGGAGAGGGCAAATTGTCATTTTTCTAGAGTATTGTTTCTTCAGAAAGGTATATATGTTCGGCTCGAGTGTTCACAGGATGCCAAGTTGACGTTTATTGAGGATTAACAACCTTTTAAGGCATTAAGATATTATCCAATGTGATTTCAACAAAAGAGTTTCTAGATAGCTACTGACATCTAATCTGGAAGGCATCTTGTTAATAGATGCGCTGATGAAAACTTGAAGCATAATCTAAAGGAAGATCATTGCAAATTAGCAATTGTATCATTCACAATAAGGGATACCATTACGACATGCTGCGTATCATATCAGTGCAACGTTCTCCGAATAGCCACTCTGCCTATTGTATACCAATTTCCATTGCATAGCCACTCTACCAATTGAATTACTACCATACCCATTTTATATCCACTCTGCCCATTTAATATCCACTGTACCCATTTTATATCCACTCTACCCATTTGATAACCACTCTACCAATTGGATAGTCACTCTTTCCATCAGGAAGCCGCTCTCTCTACACTTTGGATAGCTACTACCAACTGGAAAGCCACTTTTCCACCTAGCTGACTATTACAGTTCTAACAAAGATAAGATCTAAAATCTAACGTTTCAACTTCTTTTATTGGGATCTGAATGTAAAATGAATCTGAGGTAGAAATTGCAGTGATTCTCTCTGTAATATTGCGTAAATTATACAATATGGATAGCAATATCAACGAATTGTCTGACAGTAACAAGTATTTGGAAGTGGGAGTATGAAAAAGCTTATCCCTAATTGTGATGGGTACAGGGTAGATTGATATTCTAACTTGATATCTTAAAAAAGTTTAGCAAATTAAGGTGAAAAGGATAAGTCTATTCGTTATGATAAATATAAAATTTGAAAGGGGAAGTGCTAGGAATACGGATGTGACGGAAGTGTATTCGCTACAAGCTTGATTCAACAATGCTTCAGTGAACAGAGGGAGTTTGATATTTAAAATAATCTAATGAAGAAGAAATGTGTTTTTCAGGTTTTTGCCCAAAATGAGTTATTTCATTGTGTACCCAATGAAGTTATCATTTGCCCAGCTACTAGTTATTAATTAAAGTACATAATAATTCAGGAACCAGTAATTTTTAGACGAGCGCACTTGGACTTAAGTTTAGGTTTTTAATAAATGTCGTAATCAAAATATCTTGTTCTTATAAAACAATAATAGGTGAGTAGAAGATGAACCAAGTGATCAAGTATTGTTTCACGTTCATTCTTTGTACAGATAATCCCCAGGATGCAAGAGTTATTAGGATGGGTAATTCAGTTAACCTTACGCCAATATTTTACCTTGTATAATTTTCTTGTGATCCATTAATATAGTCACAGCAATAAATGATACTGTCTCAAAGTCACGTTGAAAAATGACTTTCAGTTATGTCAATTATCGGATCTGAAGTTTGGAAGACATATTGATATTTCTGGTTAACAGATAGAGTTAGTATAGCGGTTCACTATACTCAAAGAATCGGACATTCAACACACACCAATGGGGCATGATGGGACCTCCATAATAGACTTAACATTGTGTGGGATTTTACTTCATGGACTCCATGGATCTCCATGAGACTCAGTCGGACTTTGCCCTACGAGTCCCATGAGATACCACTTGGGAATCGGTGGGACAAGATGGGGCAAAGTCCCACGAAGCACCATTGAGAATGAACATGTTCATTCTGTCCATGGGGCATTGTGGGATTTTTGATCATGTGACGTGTCAATTGACTTACAACATCGTTATGGCACTTGATGGGGCACTTATATGGGGCAACGTTAATAAGGTCCCAAGGGACATCGCGGGACTCGATGTGGCATTGTCGGACTCAATGGGACTCGATGGTGGGATTTTGCCCCATTGGTGTATGTTGGGGTTTTTGTACACTCGATTCTATTCTCGATCAGACCTTACTTTTTCATTTACCTTAAGTCGTTAGTCCCTCCGTAGACAGTCTTTAGTTAAAGCTTGCCCAAGGCCAAATACGACACGTATATAAAGACTTCACCGGTTCCCTCTATGTTGCCATGGTGGACATGATCTGACCTTAAAAAATAAAACACATTCTTTCATATCGTCTATAATTCAACCGACTCCCAGTGTTATATTTAGTGTTAGGCAAGGTATATATCAAGCATATTTCATTACAGATATTTATGAATTATATCTATAAGACCTTCAACTTTGATTTCAATCACATTAATAAATAAGGCAGACAATACATTGCTACGTGGTTTGATAAGTTATGATTTGTTTGTTCCCATGATTCACTGTCGGAGTATCCGACGAGCCAATCAAATTTTACAGACGGTGTATTGATTATATTATATATATGTTGTTTATATCAGTCACATTTTCTCGCAAGACTCCGAGCAGTTACAAAGATGGGGGCGGGGAGGATGGAAGTGTTCACTAGAGGCTTCATGAAAAACAAATTGTCATTACCACACAAAACTACACATATGCTGGTTATGTGTTCCAGATCCTGTGTTGGGCTAAAACATTGTTGACACTTGAAGAGTGATAATTGAATCTTATACCAAACTCAATAGTCCATTTGTCACCCCTATACATACTATAGTGAACCTATGAATTGTTAAAAACACGATGTTTTATGGTTAATTTATAATAACAAGGGTTTTCTAAAGTGATTTAACTGGGTTGGACAAAAAGTTAGTTTGGGGAAAAAAGTATATCGGCTAATAAAGAAGTGTTGCATTGGCTTAACATGGCGTTGACTATTGACTTAGCTTCGGGATAACACCATGTACCTGGTATGTTACCATGGTGATAGATACAAAAATTTTCCCCAACGTTAATTTTTTGGCAACCCAGCTAAATCACTCCAATAAACCCTAATGATAGTATTTGCACAGAAAAACATCATGTTTTTAAATATTCATACGTTAAGAAAATGACAAATGGACTACAAACTCAGGCAGTTCCTTCGAAGTATTATAACTATTTAGGAAATAGTGAAAGTAACCCCCAAGACATATAATATCAATAGAACAATATAGCAGACGCACGAAAACACCTCATATCTAGTAAATGAATTCTTTGGTCATGATCATCACGATACTAATTTGGTTCTTTTATAGAGCTGTTTTCAATAGGATGACATTCACTTCGTTATTTCGTGTAGAATTAGATGATCCTATCGTATCCTGAAAGGTATAGTACTAATCAACTGAAGTCGCATATGCTTAGTTGATTCAATGATTCGTGATGTTATACGATTTCATTTGATATCACCTAATGATGTCAATTTACGGAACATCTGAGGTGAATGGTGTCTAACCATGTAGAAGTACGAATCAATTTAGGGACACGTCGATTCATTCTCTAATCCAGAAATGAAGACAGTTGGAATGAATATGAAATTGATAAATACATCGATGAATAAATATTGGTGTCTGACATCAGCTGACATCGTAATTTTTCTCATTAATGGCTTAAAAATGGATCGATCTATCAATTTTTAAATACATTTACATAGAAATTAAATTATCTAAAAAGTATTTAATTAGCCTATTTCGCAAATGATTTTGAACAGCAATATATTCCGCGGTCAATGGCCAAACTGTGATCAAACGAAATGAGTATCGAGAGCCAGACTGGAAAATTGACGAAGGCACAAAGGAAGCGATGTATTTTGAAACCCCAAATAGTGTGAATTGATTAAAGGTCCTAAGCAAATTTTGAAAACATGTTTTAATTATCAAAATATTTTTTATTTCACGGAAAAGGTCATCTTTGACTTCCGAGGAGTAACTGAAACCTCGCGAATCAAGATGGAAAAGGTTGGGCTTTCTAAATAAGTCGCTGCTCCTTTCATTATTGAATATTTGGATTTTACGCCATTTTAGCAATACTAGCTGAACATTTAGATCAAAAATGTAATATATGTTGTTAAATTTAGTAAAATTTACATTAAGGGCCTTCGGTCCTCGGTCCAATTATTTCACTATATTGCCTTTCGAAATGACGTTATTGTACTATTAATAGAGAGGTTAAGCTACACGTATTAAACAAAACTTGAACGTGAACTTCAATGCGCGCGCATATAAATGACGTCAGATTTGTTTATTTCCTTTGGGCCAGCGTGAAGTTTACAGGTTTTTACATGAGATTATCATATTCGTGCAATTTACAGACGCGTATTCAACAAAGCATGAACGTGTACTTCTATGCGCGCGCGGGAAAATGACGTCAGATTAGTCTACTTTCTACAGATAGGCGCAAGGAGGATTGGCTCCCAGAGTGCAACATCGATATTCTGTCCCATATATGGGCATGTCGTGCTACAAAATTTGAATTCCAACAGCCGCCATTTTGTTCACTTCAACATTTGAATCGTGAATTTTGGTCTTATTTCCTAACGAAAAATTCCAAAACTCACAGGAAATGATCGAGATATTGGTTCGAATCTTTTGAACTGTTTATTTTGAATTTATAATCGGTTATAATTTCAGAAAATAACGACATCTCGGCGTTTTCATTGTTGGAAAATATCGACTTCGATTCTGGGAGCCAATCCTCCTTGAGATAGGCGTGAAAATTACAGGTTTTTACGTGGAGATGAGTGATTACACGTCCCTCATTACGTGATTGATTTTAGCTATGTTCTAGGATGCCCCTAGAGCCCATATTTGATACAGACAATCTTACTTGTTATATTGGTAAACCCCAATCCTTAATTGGAAATTAGAATACATTTTAATGGGTAACTTCAAATGTGATCGTTTGTTCATTCCATACAATATAAATTGGCAAGACCTATTTGATGCCCGGGGCTTAGTAAAATATGTATACTAAACGAAATGAAATGACAACCAGGGCAAGAAAGGATTTAGTGCGCCCTCCATTATGATCTCCCCATGAACAAAAATAAATTCATCTGATTTTTCAAAATAAATATACTGCTTTTATTATTACATTTATATGTACACTCGTATCTTGTTGACCTATATTCAGCACTGAATGGGCCACTTATTAGGGCCAATATTCAATCATAAAATGTACAGGGGTACAGTTGGGGACATAAATAAATGACAGGTGGATTTGCTGAAGTGAGGATTTCCCATGTTAAAAATAAGAGAATTTACAAGAGGCCATACATCAGTGGATGAGATTATACAAAATGTAAAATATACAAATTTTAAGGGATATATATCTAGACAATATTGGAAATTATGGGCTTTCAGACCACCATAATTAGGAAATGGTGATCGAAAATCGACCTGTCATTTATTTTTGTCCCCAACTGTAGAGATGCCAAACCATGAAGTATTTTTGTGTCTGTCAAAATCCATTTGCATCCTACACATTCCTACATCTTATCCAAATATGTTATTAATTAATGAAACATAACAGTATAATTTTTGTATTTACAAAGTTGTATGGGATTTCATAAGTGTAAAAGCTACTTTTGAAGCATTTTTCTATTGCCATTTTGTAGGAAAAAATGATTTATCTTTTAATTTGAAGTTTGACCTGAATCGATTGCAAACTTTATATTTGCACATCTGATGTGATATACCATTTGTGTCATATTGTGAAATTATTTAATTTGCAATCGATTCAGGTCATAGTGTATTTTAGGTATTTTTGTGAAAATCAATATAAACCAATGGTCTCCATCGGAATCTGATGATATTCACATGTTAAGTCAATAGAACACATCCAATGTCAAGTCAATACACCCTTGCTGAACTTAACCGAGCTGAACCTCAGCCGATGTGGGTCCAAACGCTTGAATATTTTCCAAAGTATTATGTGACATTGTATTCTTTATGTTACAGTTAAAAATGATTCATTTTGTTCATGGGGAATCCATAATGGAAAGTGCACTAGACCCTTTAATTGTGGTTGAATATGAAATAAAGCAAAAATAAAAAACAAAATGTTTTATTGCGACTAGATTCGAACCCAGGCCTAACGAACATACGTGAAGTGCTAGATTGCCGAAGTGCTATCCATTACACCATAGAGGCATGACCTTTAGACACAGTCACCACATAAATATAGCTCCACGTCCACTGACATGGTTTCAGACGTGTAGCTTAACTGAAAATCTTCTCAAACGTTTCCTTGAGCGTGGACTTACGCGTTTAGGTTCACGGTTTGCATTTATACGTGTAGCTTAACCTCTCTAATGACTCTTCCTTCGAAAAGTTTCTCAGTGTTGTAAATAGTAGAAGTAAACCATCATTTGCTCCATTTAACGCTCTGCTTAAGCAATAATTTCCAATTCAAGGTTGCGCATATTTGAAATAGTTCATCCACGCTGTAATGAATTATACTGGATCCAATGGAGCGGAGAAAATAGTGTTTTACAGAGATTCAAATATTTGAAAACTGAAAGACGAACGTTAAAGCATGTCTCAATTATTATCAAACATTTTCTAATTTCATCTGTGAGTATCCACCCGAAAAACATCGTAGATGGCGAAAACTATTATAGTTCAAACATTCATTATTTTCTAATTCTCATTTGTGATTATCCAAGCGAAAAATATTGTAGATGGGGAAACTTATCATTGTTCAACTCGATCCATCAAAGTATTTCAAATCACTGAAGGAATAAACTTGTTTAACGAGATGGGAAAACTGAAAAATGAAATTAAAAGTTCCCCTTGTTGTCTTTTCCCTAGGCGTTTTGCGTTATGTTGGAAGATAACATTTCTTCCGGCCCAGCTTAAAGGGAACGCCAGAGGGGGTGAGGCCGACGGTGTAGATTGGAGTGCATTTCGGACCAGGTTTTGCCTTAATATTTTACTGTCAAACACTAACAAAGCTGTGTATCCTGAACTTCCGAATTTCATAGATTGTGGTAGTACCATTAAAGAAATCCAATCACATCCCATTGTATTCTGATTCATTCCTATACGAGAGAAGAATACATCCAACGTATTAAATAGTTAATACATCCTGCCATTATCAAACAACGTACACTCAGACTATTAAATGCATTAGAATCCCATTAATAATGGAATTACATAACGGCATAAAGCACATCTATTTACACTGATCACTTTGACTGG